AAAATTGCAAAATAACCCTTTTTCGGGTTAAAATTGAAAAAAGATGTTACATAAAAAAAGTTTGTAAGATTTTCTAACAGCATATATGCAAAGTATTTTGATTTATTTGAAAATAATTGAAAATAGATTTTTCAAGGACGGTGTCGAGGTCACGGGGTCGGTGTCGTTTTTCGAAATTTGTTAACTTAATATAATAGAAGATGTTTCGTTTTAAATTAAGAAATGTTAAAATTATTAAGTTAAAAACATTTGATTTTAATGACACTTAAAATTAGACACAATATTATAGGTTACTAACTAAAAATTGAAAAAACAACAATAAATAATAAAAAATAATAATAAAAAATTGAAAAAATCAAAAAATTCTAAAAAAATTGCAAAATAACCCTTTTTCGGGTTAAAATTGAAAAATAACCCTTTTTCGGGTTAAAATTGAAAAAAGATGTTACATAAAAAAAGTTTGTAAGATTTTCTAACAGCATATATGCAAAGTATTTTGATTTATTTGAAAATAATTGAAAATAGATTTTTCAAGGACGGTGTCGAGGTCACGGGGTCGGTGTCGTTTTTCGAAATTTGTTAACTTAATATAATAGAAGATTGTTAACTTAATATAATAGAAGATGTTTCGTTTTAAATAAGGAAATGTTAAAATTATTAAGTTAAAAACATTTGATTTTAATGACACTTAAAATTAGACAAAAATATTATAGGTTACTAATTAAAAATTGAAAAACAACAATAAATAATAAAAAATTGAAAAAATCAAAAAATTCTTAAAAAATTGCAAAATAACCCTTTTTCGGGTTAAAATTGAAAAAAGATGTTACATAAAAATAGTTTGTAAGATTTTCTAACAGCATATATGCAAAGTATTTTGATTTATTTGAAAATAATTGAAAATAGATTTTTCAAGGACGGTGTCGAGGTCACGGGGTCGGTGTCGTTTTTCGAAATTTGTTAACTTAATATAATAGAAGATGTTTCGTTTTAAATTAAGAAATGTTAAAATTATTAAGTTAAAAACATTTGATTTTAATGACACTTAAAATTAGACACAATATTATAGGTAACTAACTAAAAATTGAAAAAACAACAATAAATAATAAAAAATAATAATAAAAAATTGAAAAAATCAAAAAAATCTAAAAAAATTGCATAATAACCCTTTTTCGGGTTAAAATTGAAAAATAACCCTTTTTCGGGTTAAAATTGAAAAAAGATGTTACATAAAAATAGTTTGTAAGATTTTCTAACAGCATATATGCAAAGTATTTTGATTTATTTGAAAATAATTGAAAATAGATTTTTCAAGGACGGTGTCGAGGTCACGGGGTCGGTGTCGTTTTTCGAAATTTGTTAACTTAATATAATAGAAGATTGTTAACTTAATATAATAGAAGATGTTTCGTTTTAAATAAGGAAATGTTAAAATTATTAAGTTAAAAACATTTGATTTTAATGACACTTAAAATTAGACAAAAATATTATAGGTTACTAATTAAAAATTGAAAAACAACAATAAATAATAAAAAACAATAATAAAAAATTGAAAAAATCAAAAAATTCTTAAAAAATTGCAAAATAACCCTTTTTCGGGTTAAAATTGAAAAAAGATGTTACATAAAAATAGTTTGTAAGATTTTCTAACAGCATATATGCAAAGTATTTTGATTTATTTGAAAATAATTGAAAATAGATTTTTCAAGGACGGTGTCGAGGTCACGGGGTCGGTGTCGTTTTTCGAAATTTGTTAACTTAATATAATAGAAGATGTTTCGTTTTAAATTAAGAAATGTTAAAATTATTAAGTTAAAAACATTTGATTTTAATGACACTTAAAATTAGACACAATATTATAGGTAACTAACTAAAAATTGAAAAAACAACAATAAATAATAAAAAATAATAATAAAAAATTGAAAAAATCAAAAAAATCTAAAAAAATTGCATAATAACCCTTTTTCGGGTTAAAATTGAAAAATAACCCTTTTTCGGGTTAAAATTGAAAAAAGATGTTACATAAAAATAGTTTGTAAGATTTTCTAACAGCATATATGCAAAGTATTTTGATTTATTTGAAAATAATTGAAAATAGATTTTTCAAGGACGGTGTCGAGGTCACGGGGTCGGTGTCGTTTTTCGAAATTTGTTAACTTAATATAATAGAAGATGTTTCGTTTTAAATTAAGAAATGTTAAAATTATTAAGTTAAAAACATTTGATTTTAATGACACTTAAAATTAGACACAATATTATAGGTAACTAACTAAAAATTGAAAAAACAACAATAAATAATAAAAAATAATAATAAAAAATTGAAAAAATCAAAAAAATCTAAAAAAATTGCATAATAACCCTTTTTCGGGTTAAAATTGAAAAATAACCCTTTTTCGGGTTAAAATTGAAAAAAGATGTTACATAAAAATAGTTTGTAAGATTTTCTAACAGCATATATGCAAAGTATTTTGATTTATTTGAAAATAATTGAAAATAGATTTTTCAAGGACGGTGTCGAGGTCACGGGGTCGGTGTCGTTTTTCGAAATTTGTTAACTTAATATAATAGAAGATGTTTCGTTTTAAATTAAGAAATGTTAAAATTATTAAGTTAAAAACATTTGATTTTAATGACACTTAAAATTAGACACAATATTATAGGTAACTAACTAAAAATTGAAAAAACAACAATAAATAATAAAAAATAATAATAAAAAATTGAAAAAATCAAAAAAATCTAAAAAAATTGCATAATAACCCTTTTTCGGGTTAAAATTGAAAAATAACCCTTTTTCGGGTTAAAATTGAAAAAAGATGTTACATAAAAATAGTTTGTAAGATTTTCTAACAGCATATATGCAAAGTATTTTGATTTATTTGAAAATAATTGAAAATAGATTTTTCAAGGACGGTGTCGAGGTCACGGGGTCGGTGTCGTTTTTCGAAATTTGTTAACTTAATATAATAGAAAATGTTTCGTTTTAAATTAAGAAATGTTAAAATTATTAAGTTAAAAACATTTGATTTTAATGACACTTAAAATTAGACACAATATTATAGGTAACTAACTAAAAAATGAAAAAACAACAATAAATAATAAAAAATAATAATAAAAAATTGAAAAAATCAAAAAAATCTAAAAAAATTGCATAATAACCCTTTACGGGTTAAAATTGAAAAATAACCCTTTTTCGGGTTAAAATTGAAAAAAGATGTTACATAAAAATAGTTTGTAAGATTTTCTAACAGCATATATGCAAAGTATTTTGATTTATTTGAAAATAATTGAAAATAGATTTTTCAAGGACGGTGTCGAGGTCACGGGGTCGGTGTCGTTTTTCGAAATTTGTTAACTTAATATAATAGAAGATGTTTCGTTTTAAATTAAGAAATGTTAAAATTATTAAGTTAAAAACATTTGATTTTAATGACACTTAAAATTAGACACAATATTATAGGTAACTAACTAAAAATTGAAAAAACAACAATAAATAATAAAAAATAATAATAAAAAATTGAAAAAATCAAAAAATTCTAAAAAAATTGCAAAATAACCCTTTTTCGGGTTAAAATTGAAAAATAACCCTTTTTCGGGTTAAAATTGAAAAAAGATGTTACATAAAAAAAGTTTGTAAGATTTTCTAACAGCATATATGCAAAGTATTTTGATTTATTTGAAAATTATTGAAAATAGATTTTTCAAGGACGGTGTCGAGGTCACGAGGTCGGTGTCGTTTTTCGAAATTTGTTAACTTAATATAATAGAAGATGTTTCGTTTTAAATTAAGAAATGTTAAAATTATTAAGTTAAAAACATTTGATTTTAATGACACTTAAAATTAGACACAATATTATAGGTTACTAACTAAAAATTGAAAAAACAACAATAAATAATAAAAAATAATAATAAAAAATTGAAAAAATCAAAAAATTCTTAAAAAATTGAAAAATAAACCTTTTTCGGGTTAAAATTGAAAAAAGATGGGATAAACTTCCGAAAACCCCCCCCTTCCGATTTTAATGAAACTTGGTATACTTACGTAATTTCATGCGCTGATCACGAAAATGATAGTGAAAATTACCGCAAATTTCATTTTTATGGTGAAAACCATAAAAAACACCATAAAATTATGGTTTTTTGCGTTTAACTCGTAAAAAACGCAAAATTAAAAAAAATCGTTCTCACAAAAGTTGTAGAGCTTCTAAAAATGAACATTTTATGTCCTATACATTTTTTACCAAAAGTCATTAGTTTTCGAGAAAAATGCAAAATATTTAAAAACGGTGAAAATTACCAACTTCTAGCTATTATCCACAAGAGGCAGATGTCTTATGTGACGGACAATATCTTTTAATAAAAAACCTTCTACTCTTTGCTGTGCAGGGCTATTTCCAAAAGAACTTTTAGGGGAAGACATCTTGGAGGAGGGGGGTCGGGGTAGGTTCCGTACCTTCCAGTACCATTAAGAATGTGAATTTGACTGTCTGTTTTGAAAGAGAGCAACGATACTAGGGAAGGCGGGCTTCGCCCGCCTCTGCATTCTTTGCTGTGCAGGGCTACTTCCAGGGGGGGAGGGGGGGAAGACATCTTGGAGGAGGGGGGTCGGGGTGGGTTCCGTACCTTTCAGTACCATTAAGAATGTGAATTTGACTGTCTGTTTTGAAAGAGAGCAACGATACTAGGGAAGGCGGGCTTCGCCCGCCTCTGCATTCTTTGCTGTGCAGGGCTACTTCCAGGGGGGGAGGGGGGGAAGACATCTTGGAGGAGGGGGGTCGGGGTGGGTTCCGTACCTTTCAGTACCATTAAGAATGTGAATTTGACTGTCTGTTTTGAAAGAGAGCAACGATACTAGGGAAGGCGGGCTTCGCCCGCCTCTGCATTCTTTGCTGTGCAGGGCTACTTCCAGGGGGGGAGGGGGGGAAGACATCTTGGAGGAGGGGGGTCGGGGTGGGTTCCGTACCTTCCAGTACCATTAAGAATGTGAATTTGACTGTCTGTTTTGATAGAGAGCAACGATACTAGGGATGGCGCGCTTCGCCCGCCTCTGCATTCTTTGCTGTGCAGAGCTACTTCCAGGGGGGGAGGGGGGGAAGACATCTTATATATTATATATACATAATATATGTATAATATAATATAATATCATAATAATATAATATTCAAACGAATCAAATTTAATGTGCGATCTCTCAAAACTATCTTTATAGGAATTCCAGTTTCGTGGTATTAGTAATTTTTGTAGTGTGCTTTTCATGTTTCTGCATTTTTCTCGAAAACTAATGACTTTTGGTAAAAAATGTATAGGACATAAAATTTTCATTTTTAGAAGCTCTACAACTTTTGTAAGAACGATTTTTTTTAGTTTTGCGTTTTTTACGAGTTAAACGCAAAAAACCATAATTTTATGGTGTTTTTTATGGTTTTCACCATAAAAATGAAATTTGCGGTAATTTTCACTATCATTTTCGTGATCAGCGCATGAAATTACGTAAGTATACCAAGTTTCATTAAAATCGGAAGGGGGGGGGTTTTCGGAAGTGCACCCAAAAGATGTTACATAAAAATAGTTTGTAAGATTTTCTAACAGCATATATGCAAAGTATTTTGATTTATTTGAAAATAATTGAAAATAGATCTTTCAAGGACGGTGTCGAGGTCACGGGGTCGGTGTCGTTTTTCGAAATTTGTTAACTTAATATAATAGAAGATGTTTCGTTTTAAATTAAGAAATGTTAAAATTATTAAGTTAAAAACATTTGATTTTAATGACACTTAAAATTAGACACAATATTATAGGTAACTAACTAAAAATTGAAAAAACAACAATAAATAATAAAAAATAATAATAAAAAATTGAAAAAATCAAAAAATTCTAAAAAAATTGCAAAATAACCCTTTTTCGGGTTAAAATTGAAAAATAACCCTTTTTCGTGTTAAAATTGAAAAAAGATGTTACATAAAAATAGTTTGTAAGATTTTCTAACAGCATATATGCAAAGTATTTTGATTTATTTGAAAATAATTGAAAATAGATTTTTCAAGGACGGTGTCGAGGTCACGGGGTCGGTGTCGTTTTTCGAAATTTGTTAACTTAATATAATAGAAGATGTTTCGTTTTAAATTAAGAAATGTTAAAATTATTAAGTTAAAAACATTTGATTATAATGACACTTAAAATTAGACACAATATTATAGGTTACTAACTAAAAATTGAAAAAACAACAATAAATAATAAAAAATAATAATAAAAAATTGAAAAAATCAAAAAATTCTAAAAAAATTGCAAAATAACCCTTTTTCGGGTTAAAATTGCAAAATAACCCTTTTTCGGGTTAAAATTGCAAAATAACCCTTTTGCGGGTTAAAATTGCAAAATAACCCTTTTTCGGGTTAAAATTGCAAAATAACCCTTTTTCGAGTTAAAATTGAAAAAAGATGTTACATAAAAATAGTTTGTAAGATTTTCTAACAGCATATATGCAAAGTATTTTGATTTATTTGAAAATAATTGAAAATAGATTTTTCAAGGACGGTGTCGAGGTCACGGGGTCGGTGTCGTTTTTCGAAATTTGTTAACTTAATATAATAGAAGATGTTTCGTTTTAAATTAAGAAATGTTAAAATTATTAAGTTAAAAACATTTGATTATAATGACACTTAAAATTAGACACAATATTATAGGTTACTAACTAAAAATTGAAAAAACAACAATAAATAATAAAAAATAATAATAAAAAATTGAAAAAATCAAAAAATTCTAAAAAAATTGCAAAATAACCCTTTTTCGGGTTAAAATTGCAAAATAACCCTTTTTCGGGTTAAAATTGAAAAAAGATGTTACATAAAAATAGTTTGTAAGATTTTCTAACAGCATATATGCAAAGTATTTTGATTTATTTGAAAATAATTGAAAATAGATTTTTCAAGGACGGTGTCGAGGTCACGGGGTCGGTGTCGTCTTTCGAAATTTGTTAACTTAATATAATAGAAGATACCTTAGACTATTCACTTTATAATAATCATAAAAAATAGAGAAAAGTAAACAATTGAAACTAATCAATATATCCGTTAATGAAAATAAAATAAAATTTAATAAAATGTATACAAAAACAAAAGTCTTTTGGTAAATTTGAACATAATATCCATTATTTTATAATATAATTTATTTTATAATATAAACATACACTATATATAACAAAAGAGATATTCTGGTACAAAATAAGCATCATTAATTGAACTGTTCTCTCGGCGATCAAAAACTCGACTGATTCGTGATCTCGTTGTCACGCAGGGCATGAGTCTTGATCGTCTTTTCTTTCTCTAATTTTCACACTCGCACTCATTCTAACTTGCATAGAAAAATGTCAAACGTGCATTCGAAGAATCGAAATCACGCCACTTCGGTCCACTCAAACTGTTTAGGTTACACGATATCTAATATAAACACTTTGGCGACTCTCGGGCGCCTTGCGACAAACACGGGTCTAAACTTTCAAAAAGACTTTCAGAACAAAGACACTTTATATCTAATTTTTATTTCAACTTTTCATTTTGTTTAAACTTTAACTTTAATTTTTTCTTTAATTTTCCACAACACTACATTTACTAAAAGATAATAAAATTGTGAAAAAAATTAGTCTTTTTATAAGTGATTTAGCCAACATTTTAATTAGATATTTAAAAAAACATCATTTTTAGTGTTTCATAAAAATCAGAGTAATTTTTAAAATAATAAAAGTTTTTTAATGTTCTGGAGTTTATTTAAAAGGTAGTTTTCTACAGAAAAAGAATTACTTGTCAACATTAAAGTATAATTTGTTCCCTTAAAAATGCAATTCTTTAAAATTGAACCAAAAAATTCAAAAAAATTTGACATTTTTTGTACAAGAAATCGTCTTATAAAACATTTAAAACATGAAATAAATACAGATTTTTCAAGCAAATTGTATAAAATAAATTTTTGTTGGATTTTATAAATTATGTTTCTGTTTAAAAAAAATCAAATTTTTTTGAATTTTTTGGTTCAACTTTGAAGACTTGAATTTTTGAGGGAAAAAGTTATACTTTAATAATGACAAGTATTTCTTTTCCTGTAGAAAAGTACCTTTTAAATAAACCCAAGAACATTAAAAAACGGTTATTCTTTTAAATGTTATTCAAATTTTTGTAAAACATTAAGAATTAGGGTTTTTTAAAAATATCTGAATAAAATGTTGGCCAAATTACATCTAAAAAGTCTCATTCTTCTCACAATTTTATCATCTTTTAGTAAAGAAATAGAAAAAATTTTTAGTTTTTATAAATTTTACGTTTTATGATGTTTTTCATTCACCAAAAATTGTGTGATCTCTAAATTCTGACCGGTAGTGTACGTGGAAAGATTTTTTGAAAAGTGCCCCTTGCAATGTCCGCTGAAATTTCCTGCCATAAATTCTGGTAGAATTTAGTTCGGGAGTCTGATATTATGCCCATGAGATAGAATTTCTGTTGGAAATCGGAATTTTTATCGGGATTCTAGCAGAAGTACTGTGGGATTTCGAAGGAAATTCTAATAAAAATTCTGACAGAATTTACAAGGAGCACTTTCCTAGGACTCTCTCCATTTTGGAAAAGCAACAAGAAAAATGAACCATTGATTTAAAAAAAATTCAACATTTCCTTTAATAAAAATAAAATGAAATTTAACTGAATGAAAAATTAAATACATAAACAAAAATTTTCGTGAATAATAACACAAATTAACTGAAAACAAACGAAAAATGCAAATTAACATTGTAAAAAAATTTCATTCATGAAAAAAATCATCATTAATGGTCATTCTAAATGATTAAATTTCTGGTTTTTCTTTTGTTATTTGTCCACTGTTCGCTCTTTTTAATTCTCGAAAACCTCTAAGAATTTGTTGAAGAGATAAACCACATTGTTCCAAAGTTTCAACATCCTCCTCTGATTGCAGTTGCATATAAATTCTGGCTCCTTTAAAAAATTAAAACAATTAAATCTAAAACAACTGAATTGGGATCTGAAATACTGCGATACGCCATCTGGTGACGACCCCGTCTCATGTGCGAAAACCAACATGGGCCAATATTGGCCCAGCATTGTCAAATCGGACACCAAGTCTTGGCAGACAATATTGGCCCAACTCTTGTTGTGTTAACTGCGGTTGGACGTCGGCAGCCAAGTATCAGACGTCATTACTGAGCCAATCTTGGCTGCCATTAGTGGCCCAGTATTGTCAAAGTTTAAAAAAGTTTAAAAAATTATAATAATTAATTAACTAATTAATTCATTAGACATTTATAATTCAAGTCCTGACAGAAAGCACAATTGTTTAAACATTTGAAAATTTGTAACGCTCGCGGGAACCGAACTTGCAACCTAACGCACCGAAGTCTGACACGCTAACCACTACACTATACGCGGATATGGGAATCTCAACACAAAAATCTTTTGATAAGCTGCATTTTAGGAACATTTCAGCCGTTAATGCGCCATTACTGGGCCAAGATTTGTTCCAACTTTGGAAAAAATGACTTGTCAAAAGAAATTCAACATTTCAGCCATCAATGAGCCAATATTGGCCCAGTAATGGGACAGAGAAGGCCCAATAATGGCAAATTAGAATAATCGAGAAACGGTGCCAATATTGTCCCAATAATGGGACGGAGTTCGACCTAATTATGGCAAATTGGAGTAACTGAGACGCAGCGCCAATATTGGCCCAGTAATGGGACAGAGATGGCCCAATAATGGCAAATTAGAATAATCGAGAAACGGTGCCAATATTGTCCTAATAATGGGACGGAGTTCGACCCGATTATGGCAAATTGGAGTAACTGAGACGCAGTGCCAATATTGGCCCAGTAATGGGGCAGAGAAGGCCCAATAATGGCAAATTAGAATAATCGAGAAACGGTGCAATATTGTCCCAATAATGGGACGGAGTTCGACCCAATTATGGCTAATTGCAGTAACTGAGAAGCATTGTCAATATTGGCCCAGTAATGGGACATAGTTCGGCCCAATAATGGCAAATTAGAGTAACCGAGAATTGTTGCCAATATTGGCCCAATAATGGGACGAATTGATCGCCAGTACTGGTCCAGCAACGTTTGCCATACTTCGGCAGACATTACTGGGTCAATGTTGGGCTGTATCGTCAGTCTTGGCATTTCGCACATGGGGTTGGGTAAGTTATTTTTCGTTTCACCCTTTTTAAAATATCTGTAGAAGAAAGAAATAAAAAATCAAGATGGCTGATGCAACGGGGTCATTTTCCCCATAATTTCCTATGATTTCAGATCACAATAAAGAATAAAAAAATTGTTTTTTACTAATTTTTTGTAATATCATTCAATTTATATTATAATTTTTTTTAATAATTTGTGTACTTAAAATTTAAATTAGTAAATTTCTACTAATTTAAATTTCAACTGCACAAAGAATAAAAAAACTTGTTTTTTTAAAGAATTTAATTTTACCTTACTTTTATAATAAATTATTTATTCTTTGTAAAATAAAAATTTAAATTAGTAAATATTTAAGAAAAAGATTTTAAGAAGAAAATAATGTACAAAGAATAAAAAAATTTGTTATTCCCTTTTGTATAAAACATAAATACAACTGTACAAAGAATAAAAAACTTGTTTTTTCATTAATTTTATTTTTATCTCAATTTTATTATAATTTTTTTTATTCTTTGTACAGTTAAAATTTAAGTAAATAAATGTTTACTAATTTAAATTTTAACTGTACTAAACATTTTAAAAAACTTGTTTTTCATAAATTTATTTTAATTTTATTTTTATTCTAATTTTTTTTACACTTAAAATTTAAGTTAGTAAATTTTCATTTATTTAAATTTCAAATGTACAAAGAATAAAAACACTTCTTTTTTCATTAATCTTTATATATTTAATTTTAAAATATTTAAGTACAAAAGATAAATAATATTTATGATTGTATTTAAAATTTATTACTAAATTTTTACTAATTTAAATTTAAACTGTTCAAACAACAAGAAATTTGTTGTTTTAAATTTTATTTTTATTTAATAAAAGTCTTTTTATTTTTTGTACAGTTAAAATTTGAATTAGTAAATTATTACTACTTTAAATTTGAAATATTTATTAGTAATTTTTTACTAATTTAAATTTTAACTATACAAAGAATTGAAAAACTTGTTTTTAATTCATTTTATTTTTATTATAAGTCTCCCTTGTTACACTTTAAAGTGTTACTGAAGGATGCAATCCTCACTTCTAATTTGTATTGTCCATCTGTTACGGAACCACAACCATAAGTTCCAAAATTTTTTAAAACTCCAACTTTTTCTTCTTGAAATTTTGTTTTAATATAGCCGAAGACTTCTAAAATAAAAATTTAAAAACTTAATATAATTAAATACAAAATTTTAATTTGAAAAATATGTATTATTAAAAACTTACTGATTTTTTTACCCTCCTGATGAATTATGTCACTTATATTAACTGGATCGATATCGAAAGATGGTTCATCAATCGAACCATATTTACCGTACGAAATTATAGACGTTCTTTTGAATATTTGTAATTCGTACTTTGTATTTCCGAAATTATATTCAGGTTTGGTGGGAACGCGCGAAAAAGCTCCATCAATATGTAAGGTCTACAAACGTTTCAAAGTTCATAATTACAAAAATTATTAAAATATTCAATTTATAAAAAAGAAACTTATTTTAAAATAATTTTCAATGCAAAAGTTATTATTTTAATTATTTTTTTATTTATTAATATTTAATTGTATAAATATTGTTGTTATTGTTCTCTTTATTTATTATTTTACTACAATGCTGATATTTATTATTAATATTTATTATATTATTAATATTCACCTAAGAATCCTATTTAAAAGGTTGAATTTTTTTGTCAAAAACAAAAAAAAAGAGTGGGAGAAGATAATAACCATTAAAGAAGTAAAAAAAATTGTTAGAAAAATTAAAAAATAATAAATTTCTATTAATTTTGGGTAAGATGTAAAAGTTATATATATATATATTTTAATTATTTAATATATATGTATTCATTTTAATGTAAGCAGGGACGTTTACAAAAGTCGAATTTTACTTTTGTTTTGATATTTGAAAACAAAATAAAATTCGACTGGTATTTAATTTTTTATTTAAACAAAAGTCTACTCCACATTACTTTTGTTCACACAGAGTAAAACAAAAGTCTACTACATATTATTTTCATTTCCACAGATTGAAACAAAAGTCTACTACACATTACTTTCGTTAACACAGTTTAAAACAAAAGTAGTTTTGACTTCAATTTGTTATTAATAAAAATAATGATGAGTAATTCTTGTAAATAGATAATATAAAAATAATAAAACGTAATAAATAAAGTTTACTTTTAATTTAAATATTCGAATCAAAAGTAATTTTCATTGACTTTTAATTTTGATTTAAAAACAAAATTAAAATTGAATTTACTTTTGATTTTAAAATCTGAAACAAAAGTAAATTTCATTGACTTTCAATTTTGCTGTTAAGAAAAAAACTAAAAGATAAGTTATTTTTATTTCCAATACATTGATTCAAAACGAAACAAAAGTGTTTTTGAATTTAATTTTAATTTTGTAAACGTCCCTGAATGTAAGTAATATGTAAGTAATACAATTTTGTTAAATATTAACTTGAATTAAAATAAAAATAAAATTTTTTGGCGAAAATGTGCATTTTTGATTTTGAATAATTTGTTTATTTTAATTTAAATGAATTCTGTGATTCATTATATATATATATATATATATATATATATATATAAAGAATTTTTGAAAAAAAATCTATAAAATTCTTTTGTGTGGGTATTTTTTAAAATTCTTGTCTCCACCTATTCACAAGAAAACGGGATCCAAACGCACACATAGATAAAAACCGGACATTTATAAATAGAATAAAATTTGTGAAAGCATTTTTAATAATTTTATAATTTGAAGGACTACATTGCTTCCTCCACGAGGATGCAAAAAAGAATTATTTTAAAAATTATGTATACCTCATTTTCAACTATTTTTGATTGTAGTGCATCGATATTGTCAGCACCCCAAACAATGCATTGCACTTTTTTTCCTTCTTTGTTGCTTAATTAGAATCTCAGTATCTCCGATTTTCCAGCCGATCTTCTTGGTACAACACTTTGTACGTAGCCAACTAATTCTCTGTAATATAAAAAACCAGTTACACTTAACACTTCTTTTTATTTATCATAGCTTCAACTAAATGATATAAAAAAAACCCCCAAGTAGTAATTTTCACGAGTCTAGTTCAATTTTTAATTTTATCCGCCATATTTAATCCGCCATTTTGAATTTTTGAATTTTGAATGGAGATACGTTATCAGTTTTTAAGTAAACTATGTTGTGGTTATTTTTATCGTCGTATGTGAAGCTTTAAACAATAATATAGATCATATTAGTGGATTTTTTGTGTTTTTTATGTCGTTTAGGCGCCATATTTAAGTCGCCATTTTGAATTTCAAAAAGCGCCCAACGGGATTAAAAAGTAGACATTCCAAGCTAATTTTTCCAATATTATAAAATTTTTTTAAATTAAACCAATTATGGAAAGATGGGGTGGTATGGTTGACAAAGAACGTCCCATATATATATATATATATATTATTCAATCTGTACACCGAAAAAAATTTATTCTGAAATTAAGAATATATACATTGCATCAATTTTTAAATATTTGATTACTTAAATGTAGAAAATAATATCCTTAAAATAAGAATATATTCTAAGTATCTGGTATAATATACTGAATCTGAGAGTATTTACTAAATATTAGGAATATATTATTAATTTAAGTATAGTATATACTAAATTTAAGTATAAAATATTCTGAAATAAGCGCTAAATATATATTCTTCATTCCATAATCATTATTCGAAACTGTGCGAAGAACTCTATAAACTACAAAGACTAAGTTATAGCTTACTTGATAGTCGTGTGAGAGGATTGAAAGAAAAGAACAATAATTACTGGCTTTGCTGTACTAATTTCTTTTCTCTGGCAATCCTAAAACTGCTACTTTCTCTCTAGCATCACCTCTACATATTTTTCTTCCCCTTTAATCTTCTCATCGCTCAACCACTACACTACAATTTCTTCTCTCCGATAGTCCTCAAAATCCTACTTTCTCTTTTGCATCCCCTCTACATATTTTTCTTCCCCTTCAATACTTTCATCGCTCAATCATTACATTCTATCATTACATACAAGCTAAAATAACGCGCGCGTGTAGTTTCTGATTCTAATGTCAGTAAATATTTCTGATTATTATTTATAAATACATATTTAATCGAATACAAAACTTCAGAGATAACCCCATTTTTGAAAAAATTTTAAACACGAATAAATCATTAATCAAATTACCATCTTAAAAATCAAATATGTTGTACATCTAATGTAAATTTACAAAAATAAAAAAATGAATTTTTATATTGCACGCAGAAAAAATTTATGTTTTAAAATTGCAAGTTTTTTTATTTAAATCCTAATTTTCAAAGTTCAATTAAATAAAAAAACTGAATATTTATTCTATCAATGTTAAAAATACATTAAAAGTACATCAACAATAAAACTGATAAGTTTGCTTATTATTTATTAAGTTGATTCATATAAAATAATTTTAAAAATGATACAAGTGACAGTTTTTATTTCTTCTATAATTTAAATTGATTATTGTTATTGTGCATTATATTCAAAATTAAATTGATAAAAATAATTATATATTATATAATATAAATATCACCTTTAATAACTTTATATCTAAAAAACATGCGATTTCAATTGGTCAATTTTGAATAAAAAGCGTATGAAATGTGCATTGAAAACGACATTTTTTCATGACATTTTCATATTTAATTAAAATTTACGGCTGTTAAATAAAAAATCGAACCAAAACAATTTCATAAATTGAATTTGGGAACTTAAACAATAAATATATGATTTTTAAAATGTTCTGAAATTTGCCAGCAACCATTTCCTGATTATTCTCAATGGTTTGATCCAAAAATGAAGAAGAATTCTATTGGACATCACATTGATGAATTTTAAATGTCATTGGTAAATGTTCATGAAAACTCTTTTTTTTAAATTAATTTTAAATAATTTAGAGTACCGTAAGCTGAGTTTATTTCGCTTACCGATTTAATAATTTCTTCAAATTACACTAAGTGCCGTAATTATGCGACCTCTATTTTTTAAAATAACTTTTAATTTAAAAAAAATTACCTACAATTTTTCCGCTTTATTTTCAAAAACTAATAAAATTCTGAAAAAATTGACAACTTAACGACCAAAAAATGTTAATTTTTAAAAGCAGATAATTAACAAAAATCTAATTTTTAATGATTTATCTAATTTTTCTACATTACCTAGAAAATGCACATTTTTAAAGTTCATAAACTCTTTTTAAATGTATTTTGTTGTAGAATTGCGATTTTTAACAAAAATTTATTTACATACATTTCTTTGGAAAATTCAAGTCATGTAAATTGAATGAAATAAATATAAGATCTTTAAAAGCACTTTTTTAACAAAAAAATAATTTTTAAAAACCAAATAAATGCTTAATCTAAAATTGTATTCAAAATTTACCTATTGTTTTAAAATAACGCATTTCATTAATCTTCTTTTGACATTTTCATAGAAAGAATAATTTTTATAATTTTAAAGACTATTAACAACTTAAAAATTTTTACTTGGTTTTAAAAATATAAAACTTTATTTTGCAGCTAAAAAATAGATAAATTGATAAGCAAATTTATCAAAAAATAAACAAAATAACACAGTCTTACGATACATAGTTGATAAATATCAATAATTATTTAACAAAGAATATAATTTATATATACTTTTGAAATGCATATATAGAATAACAATACATATTTTACAATACTGTTAATTATTAAAATGGTTCTTCAAACATTATAATAATATCGTGATAAATTTTTCAGATGATACAAAATGATACACGGAAAAAAATACATAGAAGTGCACCATTTGTAAATTAAAAAAAGATTTTTTAAATGTAATAAATGAATTTATAAAAGCAAATATGAATATTATTATTTATTTCATTGCTTATAATATTTTTATTTTTAACCACGTTAACCTAAAAAGTTAAATTTCATATATAGAAAACTGTGTAAAGTACTTCTCTTTATAATAGTGTGTAAAGTATTACTTAACACATACTAAAAATGTTATTTTAGTAATCATTTTATTTTATAATTTAAGGGAGATTCTCTAAAAACATTAATTTTTTTAAATGGAAAAATAAATAAATTTTTTAAAAGGAAAATTTATTAAAAATTATATTAATTGATATTTTTAATTTAAATTCCACTTACCAAATTTAAAGGTTTATTTTTCATTGACACAATGGAAACAATTGATAGTATATTCAATCATTTTAACCTGAAACAAAACACCATATAAAAATCCAAAGATATGTCGATTTGAATATTTTTCTTTTTTTAATTAATAGTAATATATATTCTACAAACCTCAAATGCCTTATTTTGTTCAGCTGTCTCAAATTTCAATTTATACATTTTCACTATAAAAAATATTGCTTTTTAAAAAATTACACTTGAAATTAACAACACAGGTATCAATCAAGTTACTCGATGTAAAAAAACAATATTTCCACTTTTATACCCGTTAATATTTGACATTTAATTACATTATATGATAAATCTAAAATAATTAACCTTGTTCCGTTACATAATCCTTTATTAATACTAAGATTTCTAATAAGCATTACGACAGAATTAATTCTTAAGTGTAATTCATGTGGTGGTAAAGAAGGTGGAGAAATAGTATTCAAATATTCTGGTAATAAAACTTCAGTAAATTTTCCATTATCACAATTTTTAGTAGAATCAATGCTTTTATATATTTTTTCTCCATCACTGTTTAAGAGACTTACCACCCTCTTATTAATATCATCAACGTCAACATTTCATGGTGCTAAAATTGCTCTCACTGACAAATCCGTAAATTTTTTCTGTTGTATCAAATGACCATACATTTCTTCAGCAATATCTACATTTCCTTGTTGAATAATATGTTCTGGTAATTGAACGTTGTCATCTACATCATTTAATTCACCATTACCAACTTTAAGTAGAAAATCTACAAATTCTGTTTCCTCTGGTAAAGCTCTCATATTTTCTGTCAATGTATATTTTCTAAAATGTTTCCATAATTTACTATTTTTTATTGATAAATTTATAATTTCTGATCTAGTACCTCGGTCTTTTATTGGTAAAATTTGTCGGAAATCTCCTCCCAGGATTACAATTTTTCCACCGAAAACTTAATTTGATTTCATAATATCTCTAAATAGATTATCCATAATTTCTAGAGCATATTTTGGAGCCATTGGTGCTTCATCCCAAATAAAAACATCAATATTTTTTAAAAAGAGTCCCTCTTTTGACTGAACTTTGATATTTGAAGATGAATCACTGTACAGTGGAACAGGTAAGCCTAAGACTTTATGAACAGTTTTCCCGTTAGGAAGCAGTGTATCAGCAATGCCTGTAAATGCCATGTTGCAAACATTTATTCCTTTACTTTTTAATAAATGCCATAAGGTTATATGTAAAAAAGTTTTTCCAGATTCTCCACAGCCATTAATATACAAGCATTTAGAACTATTAAAAGAAGAATCTTTTATGACTTCAAGTATATAATCAACTATATTTTTTATTTAATATTTAATTTAGTATAATTCTGCTCTCCTATCTTGATATGTTCAAAAATATTCATATTATCAACCTGCACAGAAAAACTGTCATCTATGTCTAATAATCCCTGAAAATAAGTTAAATTATGTCCTTCATTTAATAACATTGATTTTATATGATTATAAGCTGTTTTTCAGCTTCAATATTGTCAATTTTTGAATTTTTTTAATAATCTTCTGACATTTGCCCCTTAAATTGTTACCAAAGTTTTTCAGGGTGTACAGGATGACAATGAATTAGAATTCTTACAAATAATTGTCGAAGTGAATGAAGCATCATCCATAAAGTAGCTTCTTCCATTGTCCTAATCCACTCACTACCATCTTCTATAAGTCCTAATGCCAAACAGGCGGATGTAAAAGATTCATGAAGAACTCCATTAACTGTTCTTAAACTTTGGAAAGAAGTTACCCCTTTTACTGTAAGCAACAATAATCTGAGGTGAAATAACTCCAATTGACGTGGATTTACTGAATAGATTCTTCCTAATACTTTTTCCTTAGGAATTCTTTTTTTCCATTCAAGAGATTTCATCACCCACGGATAATGTTCTGGTATTTCTGAATAATAATACTGACGAGCAGTTCTATCACGTTCATTAAGTTTAAAAAAATCTATCAATTTTGTATTTTTTTGCAAATCAAAAGAAACATTGTTATTATTTTTCCCTTCGCGAATGATAATATTCTGCTCATTTGGTAATTGTAATGGTAAACGATTAACACTATGGCTCTTTTTCCCCAAAGGTTTACTTAAAATTCTCCAAACTGCCTCAACTGGACCTACATACCCATTTTCTTCATAATGATTAATTTCATTGTGATTAACAGTTACCTCACCATTCACATTTGTAATAATAATGGATGCAGCATCATGACCCTTGAAAATATATTTATATAAATATTTAACAGATTTGATACTTGAAACTATTTCCACATTTATGTGACAATTAAATATTTCTGAAAGTATAGGACTATATGGAACCACATTAGAATTATCAACAAAGAATCCATTTGGTCGTTCATACGTTTTATTATTATTTCTTCGCCGACAAGGAACATAACAATTTTATTTAATTGTAGTTTCTTCTTGATAACTTTTTGGAAAGTTTTTTGAACATTTTCCATCAGTCAAACACCAATCTCCACAAGGTCCGTGAATGTTATTTTGCATTATTATTTTATGTAAGTAATTTCTGCAGAAATATAACGATCTACACTTTCAACAGATAATATTTTAGAATTTTTCTTCAATATGACTAACAAATGAATATGGGCAATCTTCGCTTTTAAAATTCAATAACATAAACATACAACTTGACTTCTCCAAACAACTTATTGTCAACAATATGTTGTAGTAGATGTTTTCCTTTTAATGCAAAAACCCTAGTTACAATATCAGGTCTATCAGCAGCAGTTTGGTGAGGTAATAAATTTTCCTTTATCTCTTTTAATTTGCATTACATGTCATTGTAATAAATAAATCCGGTCTACCATGTCGACCAACAATAGCCATGGCATCCTGATATTGTTGCATCATATTACGAGGTGATCCTATAAAAGTGGAAGGCAGTATAATCATTTTTCCAACATGTACATCATTTTCTAAAT